CCCCTTACCCTGCCCGGGCAGCCACGGGCTCGCCGCCCCCACCGCGCATGCGCGGCGCACGGCGCGTTCGTCCCGGAGTGACGCTGCTGCCGCCATCTTTGCTAAGGGCAAGGCGGGTTTGCCAATGAGCCGCCATCTTTGTGGTTGGCATTGCCCACCCCTATGTGACGGCGGCGGCGCCATCTTTGTAGCGGGCAGTGCCCGGTTCTCCGGACTGGGCAAGGGGGACAGCGCTGAGGGGACATTTTTGGGGGGTCGCTCAKTCTTTCATTTAACACCTTTACGGGCTTCCTGAAGTGCAGCCACCCCTTCAGGGTTCTCTACGGCCGTACAGCCAGCCGGCACCCATAACAGTAAAGGGGTTCATGCGTGGGCACCCCCCAAGGAGAAATTTGGGGGACAACGAGGTTTTTGGAGTGTTCCCCCACCCGCCCACCCCGAAAAAGCGTTGACCCTCCAAAAAGGGTTTTCACGACGTGCAAAACAACGAGTCCCCCCACCTTTGGCTTTGCACCCCTATTCCCGCGGGGGTCCTGTGTGGGTACCAGCATTCCCACGCACCGCATCCATCCCATTTTTGGGGCCGGGAGGGGGTGTCCCGGTTGTGTCACTCGCGGCGCAACCGGGACAAGCCCCCCCCCTCGGTCCCAAAAATGGGGGGAACAGGCAGAACCTGCCCACCACCCACCCCCAATCTGCACCCACATCCCACTCTGCCTCCATCACCTGACGCCGCAAGCATCCCTCCATCCCATTGGCAGAACCGGGAGGTTTTTCCTTCCTCCCCCTTCTCTCCCAGCTCCTTGGATATCTATTTTTCCCATTTTTTTTTTTCCTCTCCCTCCTCTGGAGGGTGTTTGCTATTTCCGAGCTGGCTGGGAGGATCCCAGTCGCATCAGCCGCAGGCAGCGACGCGGCATCGCCGGGTACCACCGCGATCCCTCCGGCATCCTCCGTCCTTCCCGCTCGGATCAGCCCCGCCGGGGCTCTCTGTCCTGCCGTCCCTTCCCCTCTCTCACCCTGCCGCTCCACCGGCACCCCCGCGCATCCCGGCAGCCCCCCGGCACGGCCAGGTAAGGGCCTCACCGGTACCGGGACACCGGAGCAGCCAGCGAACCCCGGTGGCGTCGGGACAACATCCCGATGGCATCGCTGAGGGATGCTCGGGGGGCGCGGGGGGCGCGGAGTGGCTGAGGGCTTTTAGGGGACACGGGGGACACGGTGACACGGTCCAGCTGGAACAATCCCGGTGCAGAATTCCTGCGCCACCACCGGGCACGGCAGCGGGGCAGCGAGGTGGCACCTTGTCCCCGGCGCGGTGACCTTCTGCCGTGCCCGAGGGCTTCGGCGGCGGGGGACGCGTGGGGTGACAGCGGTTTTGGGGTGGCTGGGAGGGCACGGGGGTGGGGCTGGGGGGTCTGCGCAGATGGGGGGGACACGTGGCCGTGGGTGGCCGTGGGTGGCCGTGGGTGACGAGTGACAGGGACACACGCGGCTGAACCCGGCGTGGGTGGCCGTGGGCACACGGGGGAGGGGGCGGCAGCGCTTTGGCAGCCCCGCGGTGCCACCGCTGCCCCCGCACAAAAGCGGGGTGCCGGGGTGCAGAGTGGGGGGCACCCGCCTCCTCCAGCCCCCTCGGATCACCCCCCCATTCCCCTGCCACGGACGTGACTCTGGTGGGCATCGCCCACCCCCAGAGCTCCTTCCTGGGGCGCAGGGAAACTGAGGCACGGGCCGGGGCAAAGGCGGATCCAGCTTTTCCAGTGCCTGCGTCCAACCCTCCCCTCTCCCAGCAACTCCCTCGGCTCTCCCCTTGTTTTTCTTTCCCCACCCGGTGTTGAGCAAACCCCGAAACACCCGCTGGCGTCGCGCCGGGGCCCCGCGGCACCCGGGGGAGCGGCCGGGGCCCCCGCACCCGACCGGGCTTGTTCCCGGCGTCCCGCTGCCTGCTCCTGCCTGCGCTGCCTATTCCTGGCTCCCGGCCGCTTTTCCACCCCGGTGCCATCTGCTCCGCCGCGGGCGGCCTTGGCAGCTGCCGACGTGGGCAGCGAGAGGGGGCTCGGCACCCCCAAACCCCGCGCTGTGCCCGCAGGAGCTCAGCCCCTCCGGCCATGGAGCTGCTCTCCACCCCCAAAAACATCGAGATCAACAACATCACCTGCGATTCCTTCCGCATCTCCTGGGCTATGGAGAAGGGGGACCTGGAGAGGGTCACCCACTACTTCATCGACCTCAACAAGAAGGAGAACAAGAATTCCAACAAGTTCAAGCACCGGGTGAGCCGGGGGAGGGCGCGGGACCCCCTGCCCGGGGAGAGGAGACGGGGTTGGGAGGGACAAACTGGCTTTTAGCCCTCCCTAGTGCTGATTTTGGGTCATTCCCYTCACGGGACGCGCTGGCGGAGGAGACCGGGATGGGGATCGGGGGGTGAGGGACCCCTCTGAGCCCCCGCGGAGGAGCAGAGCTGCTCCAGCTCCCCCTCCCCGCGCTGCGAGTCACTAATTCGGGCCGTTTTTAGCAGCGCCGTTGCCACGGTGATGCTATTTAATGTTTAACATTATTTTTTTTTCTCTCTCCTCCCCAATAATAAGGGATGGGGGGGTGGGATATTTTTTTTTCCCCTCTATCTCCCGTCTTCAGCATCCGCCGTTGCCACAGAAACGGCTCTGCACTGCGGAGCTGCTCCGTGGCCTATTGACACTGCGAGATGYCACCGGGAGCGAGGGGTCCCCGAGACACCCTCCACCCCTCCGTGGGGACCTTGTGTCCCCATCGCGGCGGGGACATGTTTGGGGACAGGGACGGGGCAGCGCTGTGGGGACAGAGCTGAGGGGGCAGCCCGAAATGTGTCACCACGGTGTTTTGGGAGGTTTCAGTGGATATTTTGGGATATCCGGCAGCATCTCCGCGGCGCGGGGTGTGGGATGCTGTCCCGCCTGACCCTCACCCCTCGGCACAGGATGTCCCCACCAAGCTGGTGGCCAAGGCGGTGCCGCTGCCCATGACCGTGCGGGGCCACTGGTTCCTGAGYCCCCGCACCGAGTACAGCGTGGCCGTGCAGACGGCGGTCAAACAGAGCGACGGCGAGTACCTGGTGTCCGGCTGGAGCGAGACCGTGGAGTTCTGCACCGGGGGTGAGCGGGGCCGGGGCGGCCCGGAGCCGGGAGGGACGGTGGGGGCGTTCCCGGGAGCTCGGAGGGAGGATGGGGGCGATTCCAGGAGCCGGGAGATGGGAGGAGGACGGGGGCGATGCGGGGAGCCAGGAGGGAGGATGGTGTTGATGCTTGGAGTCAGGAGAGGGGATCGGGGATGGGGACGGTCCCCGGAGCTGGCAGGAGGATGAGGAGGGAAATACGGGGAGCCGGGAGGATGAGGAGGGCAGGGGCAATGCCCAGAGTCGGGAGCCTGGAGGGGAGAATGGTGATGATGCCCGGAGCTGGGAGGGAGCACGAGGGTGATGCCCGGAGCCGGGAGCTGAGAGGGAGAACAGGGGCGATGTCGGGAGCTGGGGGGAACAGGGGGTCAGCGCTGGGAGCCGGGAGGGAGGATGGGAGAAGTGCTGGGAGCCCGGAGGAGGACGGGGGCGATGCCGGGAGCTGGCACAAGCCGGGCCGGTTGGAGCGGCAGCTGATGAGTGGGAGGCGGGAGGTGCGGGGAGCTGCGGGCAGGGAAGGGCTGCTGGAAGTGGGGGGATGGAGACGCCCTGATGTCCCCGTGCCTGTCCCCAGACTACGCCAAGGAGCACCTGGCCCAGCTGCAGGAGAAAGCGGAGCTGATCGCCGGCCGCATGCTGCGCTTCTCCGTCTTCTACCGCAACCAGCACAAGGAGTATTTCCAGCACGTCAGGTACCCCCAGCCCCATTCCCCGCGCCCCCCGCTCCCAGGCCGCATTCCCTGACCCTGCCTGTGCCTGTCTGTGTGTCCCTCCTCCTTCCCCTCCTCCTCCTCCTCCTCCTCCTCCTCCTCCTCGTGGCAGGATGCACTGCGGGAACGTGATGAAGCCGTCGCTGAAGGACAACAGCGGGAGCCACGGCTCGCCCACCAGCGGGATGCTGCACGGCATCTTCTTCAGCTGCAACACCGAGTTCAACACCGGGCAGCCCCCGCAGGACTCGCCCTACGGCCGGTACCGCTTCCAAATCCCGGCCCAGCGCCTCTTCAACCCCAACACCAACCTCTACTTCGCGGACTTCTACTGCATGTACACCGCCTACCACTACGTCGTGCTGGTCCTGGCGCCCAAGGGCTCCTCCGGGGATCTCTTCTGCCGGGAGCGCCTCCCCCAGCTGGACATTTCCTCCAACAAGTTCCTGACGTGCTGCGTGGAGGAGGGCGAGCTGGTGTACCGCCACGCCCAGGACAGCATCCTGGAGGTCATTTACACGGAGCCGGTGGACCTGAGCCTCGGCGTGCTGGGGGAGATCAGCGGCCACCAGCTCATGAGCCTGTCCACCGCCAACGCCAAAAAGGACCCCAGCTGCAAGACGTGCAACATCAGCGTGGGGCGTTAAGGGTCTGGGGCGGGCAGGGCCGGGCAGGGGGACGGGCACCCGCCGCGGGGCATTCTTCCACGGACGATGGCGGGTGGAGGGCGCGGGTGGGCGCGGGTGGCCCGAGGAAGGAGCCGGCGGGACGTTGGCCCAGAGAAGAGGCAGAGCCCGCGCCGCTGTGCGCCCCGAAGGAGGAAGCCTTCATCTCCTGGACTGGCCGAGCAGCAGAATTCTCCGTGGCGTGAGCCCCGCGCTCTGCCCTGCTCCGCGCAGCCGCTGCGGGACCCCCTTCACCCCCTCCCGTGTYCCCCGCATCCCCCCGCCCCAGGGTCACGCAGCTCCCAGGGAGCCCCGGCCCTGCCGAGCGGGACTGGGGCTCCCCGGCCACTCCGGGGAGGGGGTCAGGGACAGGCTGGCAGCACCCCCCGGTTTTGAACTGCTCCCGGGGACGGGGGGTGCTCACACAGGGACCCCCGCTCCCGCCGGCGCGGGGCCGCAGCGGTGTGGGGGACCCCGGGCGTGCCCCCCGTGTCCTGTCCCTCTTCGCTCTGCCATCCTGCACCGCCCCAATCCCCGGCCCCCGCGGCCCCGGAGGCAGCAGGAGGAGCCGGGGAWGGGGACAGAGGAGCTGAACCCCGCCTCGCCGTGCCCCCCAAGCCGCCGCCCCCCGCATGAGCCGTCGGCAGCATGGCGCTTGCGTGCGGCCCCCCCGGGGTGCCCGCCCCCCGTCTCTGTGTACCCCCTGCACGCTGTACAACAACCGGCTCCCGTCCCCGAGCATCCCTGTGCTGTGCTGGCGGTGTTTCAATAAACTCTGTGCGGTCGCCACCGGCCGTGTCGCGCCTCTGTCCCCCACGGGACCCYTCCTCACACCGATGCGGCTCGGGGGATGGAGGGATGGGATTGGGAGGGGGCGAGGTGGCACAGAGAGTGACGGGCACCCTCCTGCCCGTGCCAGGTCTCTGACGGGTTCAGGYTGGGAGGGCCTTCCTGGAGATCACCAGGTCCATCCCGCCTGCCCAGGCAGGGTCACCTGGATCGGGTGACAGAGGAGCACATCCAAGTGGGTCTGGAATGTCGCCAGGGAGGGAGACTCCACCCTTCCCTGGAGCTGTCCCCGTGCTCCGCCACCATTCCACAGAAAGTTCTTCCTCACGTTGAGGCTGAAGTTGTGTTTGCGTTTCTGGCCATCGCCCCTCGTCCTTTCACTGAAAACCTCCCCGAWTTCGGCACCCGCTTTTCATCACGGGCACCAAAAACCCCTCTGGATGTAAAACCCCGGTGCCCACCCCGCTTCCATCCAGCAGATACATCCCAGTCCTCGCACGGACAGGGAAAAGGAGCCTTCCTGCCGCACCAGCAGCGAGCACGGGATGCAGGAGGGGTCGAGGCACGCGGGAGCACGCGGTGGGCGCGGGGGCCGTGTCGCAGCCCACCCGCCATCTGCCACCGCCGGCGCGGGGACGCGCTGGAGCACGGGGTGGGCGCAGCACGTGGCACCCACCCACCCCACGGCGGGTGCTCTTCTGCCTCAGAGACACCTCAAAATAAAGGTGTGGGGTGAGAACGCACCTTGCAGAGCCCCGGCGGGGGGCAGAGGGCTCCGAGCACAGCGCCCACCACCCATCACAGGATCCACCGTCAGCAGGACATGGTCCCGCTGCTCCTCTGTTAGAATTGCTGGCTCTGTTCCCTCAGAACCCCGAGGATGGCGGCCCATGCAGGGTCCTGGGTGCTCTCCCTCCCCAGTCCAGCCCCATTTTGGATTCCGTTTCCCCGGACTGGAAGCAAAGAGGCCGGGGCTGACCCCGCTCCAAGTACAAGGGTATTTATTTCATGGGTACAAGAGAGAGACAGCACCTTGTGTGTGTTGGGCTCTTCCYGGTTACTGGTTTGTACATTCAGAGCTTTGGCCGGGGCAGGGGAGGGCAGCGGCTCCAGCTTGGCCCCCCCAGCACCGGGGTGGGCGGCTGCCAGCGGGGACCCCCTCCCCGTGCCCCCGTGCCGTGGGCGCCCGAGCCCCGGGGCCCCGTGCGAGCGTGTCTTGAGTGCTGAGGTTGGCTGTGTGCTCCTCCTCCGTGCAGTCTGTGCGGGGCAGCGCTGCCCGCCTTCCTCCCTGYCCTTCTCCTCCTCCTCCTCCTCCTCCTTCCCTGCCCGCGGCGGGGCCGGGACCCCCGGCCCTCATTTCCTCGTGTGCAGCGTGTCCTGGAACTTGGTGCTGGTGTAGCGAAGGTGGAAACCCTTCTTGTTGATGGTGTCGTCCGAGTGGAAGCGGATCATCACCGAGTCTCCGGCCGAGTACACCTCCTCGGGGGGCTGCGGAGGGCGAGGGAGRGGGTGCTCAGACCCACGTGGGGTGCGCGGTTCGTGGGTGGGAACATTTTTTGTGATGGGAAGAGCGGAAATCATCGCACCACCCCAAATTCCCAAGGAAATTCTCCACCCTGGCTCAACCTCATCCATTATCCTGCACCCTCACTCCTCACCCTGATCCCACCCCACCCCACGTCCCCCTCCATCCCCAGCTCACCCCGGACCCGCAGAAGCGGCCGAGGCGCGGGGCCGTCCCGTCGTAGCCGTCGAAGAGCTCCATGTAGTCATATCCACAGTCGGCCTCCTCCTCGATCTCAAAGGTCTGGAAGATGAGCTCCACGCCGAAGCCCTCCTCAGCCATGATCACCCACTCRCAGTCCGAGCCCCCCGGGTAGTTGTTGTCCCCAAATTGTGCGTGGGAATAGAGGTCCTTGGTTTTCACCTCGGCGCGCACYTGRCCCCCRCACACTGCAGGAGRAGCCCGGGTTTAKGTTCATCCACGCTCTCCCCGCACCYCATAACCCCATTTCCCAGCCCCACGGGCGTACCTGTGCTGTGGGTGGCCTCGAATCCCTTCTTCTGGATAGAATTATCAGATACAAACTTGAGGAACATCCTGTTGCCCGAGGAGACGATGGGCTCGGGCTCCTTGGCCCCGCAGAAGCGCCCGAGCACCGGGGCTTTGGCGTCCTTCCCGTCAAAAATCTCCAAGTGGTCGTAGGTGCATTCCTGCTGCGCCTCCACGTCCAGCTCCGAGAARGTCTGTGGAGGTGCTGGGTGAGTCTGAGACCCAGCAGAGGTGACCCCAGCGCCGCCAGCACCCCCCGATCCCTACCAGCTTGACGCGGTGCCCCGGCGTGGTGCTGATGGCCCAAGTGCACTCCTTCTTACTGGGGTATTTATCGGGCCAGTTGGGGCTGGTGATGGTCCCCGAGACGGATGTCACCTTGTGGTCACAGCCAGCTGCCGGGACAACGTGAAAAGGTCACGGGTGGGTGGATGAGGGGGTTCCCACAGGAACGGGGGGCGCGATGGACCCACCTTCCTTGCAGTCGTGCTTRTTGTCGTGCAGCACGAAGCCGCTGCGGCACTGGCACTCGTAGCTGCCGAAGGAGTTGAGGCACTCGTGCTGGCAGCCCCCGTTGTTCTTGGAGCACTCGTCCTTATCTGGGAGAGAGCAAAAGGACGGCTGAGAGGGGTGGAAAATCCCGGAATGGTGAATTCTGACCCAAAGCGGTCCCCCGGCCCCCCAGACCCGCTGCCCTCCAGCCAAGCAAGCGCCCCCGGCCAGCAGCAAGCAGCTCCAGCAGCCCGCTTCCAAATCCAGCCCCCGCGGGGGGACGGGACGGCTCCTCCTCTCCCTGGGCTCACCCATGGGTGCCACCATTACCTGCTGCCGGGACGGACGGGGGGAGGCAGAAAAACACACAGTGACAACCAAAGATGCACAAGAAAGACCAGGACGCGGCAGTCCCTCTTTACTCATCGATAGGAAATGTCACAGACACGGTAAAAATTGGGAAGGGGGGAAGAAAAAAAAAACAACCAAGGTCAGCTGGTCAATGACAAAAACAAGGGGGTGGGGTGCTTAGAACCAAAAAAAAAAAATTATTAAAAAAAAAAATTAAAAATAAGGTCAACAACCAGTTCTGTCAAGCAAAAGGCTGCCGGGGCCRGCAGCACGGCTCGGCTCGGTCCCACCGTGCTCCCGCACGGCTCCGGGGCCGCGGCGTTCCTGAGAAAGATGGAGAGGACGGAGCGGCTCAGGAGGGGCCCCGCGGCCGCTTCTGCATGCGGAACTTCAGGCCGGGAGGGCGAGATTTCGGGGGCTGCAGCTGCTGCTTCTTCTCTGCAAAAAGAGAGGGAGAGAAGGGGGGGAGCGATGGGGGGGCGGGGGGCGGCGGGGGCGGCGGGGGCATGCGGAGCGGCAGCCGGGCAAGCAGCAGCGAGGGGAGCCCCTGTGCGGCCGGGGCGAGCGGCTCTGCGGGGAGGAAGAGGAGGAGGAGGAGGAAAAGGCACGAGGTTGGCTTCGGGAGGATGAGGATGGGTTTTGGGTGGGTTTCTAAGGGTGTCCAGGAATGGCAGTGGAGGAGTTTGGGATCACCCCGAGCTGGCCGACCTGACCTCCCACCACCTGCCTGAACTCCCTATCGCCCGAATCAAGGATCCCGAGCCCCCCAAAATCCCCTCCTCGTCCCATCGCCCCCCTCCCGGCTCCCCCTCTCCACGGGGCGGTGTTTTGGGGAGCGGGCGGCGGCGGGGGAAGGCAGCAGCAAGCGGGCACCAGCTCCCCCAGCATCCCGCTCCGAGCTCACAGCGATGCCGGAGAGGAGCCAGGATCCCTCCTTGGAGCCAGCGGCGAGCGGGGGTCCTGCCCCAGCCCCCCCGGCCCCGCGGCCGCCTCTCAAGCGGAGGCTGTAACCTGACGTCTCCTCGGTGTGAGGGAGGAGGAAGCGAGGCGGAAAGGCCCGTTTGGGGATGGGAAGGGGCTTCTGGGCTCAGAGCAGCTCCAGAGCGGCTGGCGGGGGGAGCTGGCGGGACGGAGGGAGCCTGGGCGGGCGAGACAAGAGCAGGAGAGAGTTGGCAGCGGAAAGAAGCCCACCGGCTCGGTGTCTTTAGCAATCCTTTATTCCGACCGGCTCGCTCGCCGCCACCCGGCATCGCCGTGCGCTCACCGTTCTCCCCCCGGGAGGGGCATCCGACRGCTCCGGGCTGCTCACCGCCCCGCAGCCCCCGGCAGCGCCTCTCCCCCCGCTGCGGAACCCCCAGCGCCGGGCGGGGCTCGGCGGAGAGCCGGGGGGACGTACCTGGGTGCCGACACCGCGGAGGATTCCCGGCAGGAACGCGCATCCTTGCGGAGCCCCGGCCCGCGAGGAGGAGGAGGAGGASRASRAGGAGGAGGAGGAGGAGGAAGGGGTCACGTCTTCACCGGGGAAAAACGGGCGCCCGGACGGCCAGGCTGCCCGCGGCACCGAGGGACGGGGCTCGTCCGGAGCACGGGGACCCTCCGCGGCCAAAAAAGGGGCCGCACGGGAGAGGTTTTGCCCAGGGAGCGACCTCGGGGGGACCAGAGGAGGGACCCCGCTGTGGCCAAATCCTCCAGGGTGGTCCTGCTGCCGGGAAAGCCCGGGACCTGGGCAGGGAAAGGCGGAGGAGAGGTTTTGGTGGTGGTGCCGGTGGGGTGAGGGAAAGGACGGGAAAAGGGAGAGGGAAGGAGCTCGAAGTGCATCGGGGGAGACTCACCCGGCTGCCCCGTGGTCCCGCTCGGCCGCCGGGCTTCCCCGAGGAATCACTTTGCGGAGGGTGCCGGCTCCCGACGGCTGGGCCGCCCTACTCGCCTTGGTTTTAATTAAACAAATAAAGCAAAGACACTCGACCCCCGGCCCGCGGGTYTCGGCCGCTCCGGGAAATCTCCGGCGGCTCCGGGGGATGCCGGTCCCGCTGCTCCCGCTCAAAAACGGCCTCGGCGGAGCCAAAAGGCAGCGGGAGGTTCACGGTGGGGTCCCGGAGGTGCTGCCGGTCGCTCACAGCCGGGATGGTGTCCAGGGCACACCGAGGGCAGCCCCCAGCCCCGGCTGCGTCCAGCATTTCGCTCCGTGTCCCCATCCCAACCCCCAAGACWCATCCAGAGGTGACACCGTCTCCTGGCGGGGTGGCCCGGGAGAGGAGAGCGGACCGTGGAGCTGACAGGGAGAGGAAGGTCACGGTTTTTGGGAGAGGGGAGCCGAGACGTGGCCGGATGGCGATCCCGGGATGCGGAGGGAGCCGGTGCCGTGCAGCAGAGCGGGGAGCAGCAGCAGCAGAGCGGGGTGACACCGTCCCCCACCCCGGTAACGCCACCCGAGGGGTGCAGCACCCGGGGCCGAGCACATCCCTGTCCCCAGCTGGACCTCGGCACTCCTTGGCCATTTGGGGACCCCCCCGAGAGCACCCCCACCTCTGAAATTGGAGCTAACTGTCCCCYAAAAGAGGAGAAAACCTCCCAAAATGTGCCGCCAGCCAGGCTGCCCGTGGCTGGAGGGTTTTCGGACCGGGGGCTGCACCCCCAGCGCAGGCGAGGGGAGCGTTAGCGGCGGTTTGGGGGTGCGGGGGGGTTCGGCTGGGTGAGAGAGGGTGGCGGACGCCCTTTCCGGGGCCGGGCAGCTCTACCTGAGAAGAAATGGGCTTTGAAGCCCTTTTTGGAGACGGTGTTGTCGGACTTGAACTCGATCCTCATGTTGTTGTACTGCGAGGTGATGACCTCGGGCTTCTCGGCGCCGCAGAATTTCCCGTGCAGCTTGGAGTCGGCCGTGAGCCCGCTGCGCACCTCCACGAAGTCGTATTTGCACACCTGAGGGAGGTGACACGGGGCTGGGGACACGGCGGGGACACCCCGGGGGCCACCAGCAGCGCCGGGAGTGGCACAGGGAACGGAGAGGGACCGCTCCCCCCACTCACATCGTTGCCCTCGGTCTCGAAGAAGTCGAACTGGAGGGAGATGCGGTACTGGGTGGGGGCCACCAGCTGCCAGATGCARTTTTTATTCGGGGGATACTCCTTGGGCCAGCCCGGGCTGGTGATGGAGCCGTTGAGCTTGGTGAGGAACCCTCCGCAGGCGGCTGCAGGGCGGGAGGCACCCGGCGCCCGTCACCTCCACGGGGCTGGGGGCGCTGAAAGGGGCACGGGGGCGTTTGGGGAGGGGTCACTCACCCTCGCAGCGGCGCTTGTCGGATGCCAGCTCGTAGCCGGGGTCACAGGCGCACTTGTAGCTGCCCAGGGTGTTGACGCAGCGCTGCTCGCAGCCTCCGTTGTTGGGGCGGGAGCATTCATCCATCTCTGAGAGGGGCAGGGGGTGAGCGGGCGGGGAGCTGCGACCACCCCCAGAGCCCCCCGGAGCGCCCCCCAACCTTTGAAGAAGTTGACGGCGAACCCGGCCTTGTTGATGGAGCCGTCGGAGACGAATTTCATCCAGAGYTTGTTGGAGGTGCTCTTGATGTCGTCGGGTTTGTCGTAACCGCAGTAGCGGCCGATGAGGCTGCTCGAGTCGCTGCTGCCGTCCCGGATCTCCAGGTAATCGTA